AAAAATCCTGTTGACTTTATTTTTTTATATATGAATATATCTATATATATATATATAAATATATATGAATATTGATATATGAAACATTCATAATGTTTACTTCTAAAATAAAATATTATGTGAATGTGGTGATGATAAACACAAAAAAAATTTTCCTCAGAATGAGGAGTTAGTTTTTGTCACTGATGAACTACTGCGAAAGAAAGAATTTTAGATTTACATGTGAGTCATTTTGTGTTTGGAATATACTTTTCTTTTTAGGATGTCTCAAATGAGAAGATGGTTAATATCGAATTTTGCCCACTTCCCTTCATATTTTGCTTTCTTTTTTTTTTTTAAGTTGAGGCATGCTACAGGTACTTTGAGCTAAAGAACATAAAATTAGGATTAAGGCAATGCTTTTATCCACCGATGGTGGGTGTGAATATGTTGGGAAAAGAAGAAATGAGACCAGTAGATGCTCTGCCACCTCCTCATCTCTTTTGGTCATTTGTGCTGTATCTTCTGTGACATTTAGGGCTCAGCTCCATCCCTTGGCTAGAGATTGCATTAAGTCCTGAACTAAAAAAATAGAGTTATAACTTCAATAATGGTACCTGCACATCAACTAATATTTTGTTGTGATGTTTACCTCTTATTGTATTTGGTAGGTAAAGTTCTTTAAAGCTTCCTCTGATGTAAAGGGGAGTAAGTTTGGAACCGACCTCAGCGTTTCTGTTCACCTTCAGAACCGTGACGTGTTGGCAGATTTACTGTCAACTTGTAAAAACTAATGAACCACTTTAAGCCCTGTCATAAAACTGGAATTCTTTTGTACTTAATTAGATGGCCTGGAAGAGAGGAAATTGGAGCCAAACCCTATAAAATTAGCTTCATCAAAAGAAAGTGGAAACAGATGAGCAACCCACAGTAACTCTACAAGAATAATGCCACAATCCTTACAACCCTGCCTTGGCTTATTTGGATTGCTTACTCAAGGCCCTGTTTAAGTCTTTCCCAACATAGTTAATTTGTATATCATGGGTGGAACTGGTGGTGATGCTTGTGGTCAGGATTGTGTTATGCTCATAGCCTTGTCAGACAGTAATTTTTTGGACAGATACTTTCCCCCCCTTTCCCAAGGTGTTTTCTTCAAAAATGACTCTATTTTTGAGAACAAGGTTGGTCAAACCCAACCTTTTGTACCTTTTGTACATTTTGAAATATCACTGGTAACAAGTTACAGAGAAATTTGGGATGTTAATAATTTGGAGCAGAGTTTGAAATTGGGCAGGGAATCAGGAATGTGACATTTGCTGAAAATAACCCAATTTTAACCAACTTACAAGGCTTCAAAAATTGCAGTTTGCACATGTGCAGTAAAGGTGCGTTAGATGGGCAGCTTAAATCTTTTAAGTCTTTTCATCTGTACTGGGCATGTCCAAGGCTGTAGCTGCAGAACCTGAGCAGGAGTTTCCCTCAATCAGTCCCAGATGGTGGGAACTGAGGATGAGAAGTTTCCTGTCCATGTTCCTGGTACAAGTGCCTTGGCATCACAGGGATGCCAGGGATGACTGACTTGAAGTGGATGATTTTGGACTATCAAGTTTGGCAAGCTTAATGTACATGCCTGTCAAAGCTTACAAAATTAAGCCAACCGAAAAAAAAATAATTTGAAAATCCATTCCATAGGATGTTTTTGATAGCTCACAAAGTGCTATTAACAAAGAAATTACAACTTTGTGTTATTAGAACTCTCTAATTGTGGTCATTGTGGTTTAGTGACCTGATTTGCAAAGTGCTGAACATGTAGTGTTTTATGTGATAAGAGTTGCTCTCAAAAATCCAATGGGAGGCCTTTAAATTGGATCCACAAATTAAAAGGCATTTTTGATCACAACTTCTGCAGATGTCAGCTCCCCATTTTCAGAATGGCTCTGCTGTCCCCTTACTTCCTGGTAGCTGTGAAACTACATTAGGGCTTGTGAAAAGTCTCTTATAAAATCCCATGAGCAAGTGAATAATTTTATCATCGAAGTTTGAACAGTGTTTAGCAAGTAGATTACGGAGCTGGTTACTAGTAAAAAAAAAATACTGAAAATACTTAATGGCTTCTAGCTTAATGAGAACAATCCATCTGTAAATGGAATTAACCAATGGTTCAGTGGGAAAACGTGACCATAATGCTGTTACAGCACATAAACACAGGTTTTGTGCTGGGGCTTGATGGCTTTAGCATGATTGACGTTTGCCACTTCAGTATTCTTCCAGCATTCTTTTTTGGGTGATGATTTAATAACTATCAAAGCAGGACTTTGATTCTGTGCAAGGGCTTGCTCTTGCATATTTATGAAGATATGCTTGCATATTTGTAAATTTGATTATTCACTTGGGGGGACTCTCGTGTATAAATGGCTTGAACGGCATCGTCCACAAGCAATTTGTTAAAAAATAATCTACTCTAATTTCATCTCTTAGGAATATTTTTAGGGTCAAATATTATTTGTAGTCAAGAAATTAATCATTAAGCCTCTTAAGATTCTGAACTTGTGTTTCCACTCTGGCTTTTTAGACAGTGCTAATGATACTTGATATCAGTTCTTGGTCTTGCTCTCACCAGAGCATTAAACATATTCCAAAGAATGAAAATGCCTTTTGGAAGCCTTCTTAATTCCTGCCTTAGTGAATGCACTGGACAGATGATGGCGAATTGTAAATATGTTTTGAGCTCTCTGGGTGGCCCAAAGCAGATCTGTCCTGCTGAAAATGTCCTCTGCATATTGATTCCTCCGTGGGTGAAGAACTAATTTAAACACCTTCTTATTACCCTCTTAGCACTTTTATGGAGGCCATACATATGCACTGTTTTCAGAGGAGGTGATGTGGCAAAATTATTGCAGCAATCTTGGAACCCCCATCTGCTAGAATGTCCCTGGCCTCCCCTCCATAAAAATATCACTGCTGTTCAAGTCAGCACCTCTGTGTGTTTATTATCTTACCAGAACCTTGGAAATTGCTTTTGTTTCTAGTAGGAAAATCAGAATAGGGAAGGTAATAGGACAAGCCATAAATGGAAAAGCAATTTTGAGATAAATTTTAGATTAGAATCAATGAGACTGAAATTGTATTTTTCAAGAGTTTTGATTTCTTCCCTCAGAGCAAGTCATTTTTCATTTTCTCCTATTTTCTTCTCTACTTTGTTTTTCTTGGGAAGACAATAAACCGAGTATCTTGAGGGTTCCCTTTCTTTACTTTTCTTATCCTTTTTAATTTTTCTGAATATTAACAGTTCAGGGATGTTAGTGATTAAATGTGAAAGACTGATGCTTTTAGACTCCTCTTTGGCTTAGAAGGTTTTGAAAAACTAGAGTGAAAAATGGAAAAGGAAACTAATTACAGTGAAAACCAGTGAATGATCTTAAACAAATATCATATTTTTTGGTTAAAGAATAAGAAAGAAGAGCCAAATAATTTGAAATGCTCCTTTTAAATAATATTTCTGGATCTTGAACAAGTGGAAGTATTTACACTGAAACAAAGCATATAGTGAACAAAGAATAAAAAATAATGACGTACTAGAAAGCTTTTCCCTGTTTATTTTTAATGAGATCCATTTGAATTTTTTTTTTCAGGGGTAAAAAAATACTAAACCATATAGGATAAAAATTGTGCGTCCTTTCCAGTGTTTCTAGAGCCAAAATGTGCTCTGCATGAGTATAGTTCTATTAACATTTCTGTAAACCCAGTTACTTTGGGGTAGGTGCTAAGTGATGCAAATAAAAATGGCCAGTGTATTTATAATCTTCTAATTTTCCCTTTGTGGGTGTATCTCCAGGGAAGTGTGGTCATGACGACATTCATCCTTCTCAGGCTGCTAGAATTAAACCTGTCCATAAAATAGATGGGAAGGCACACTGAACCATTTCAAAGGATGGCAAAGTTCCCATGATAAATTAATGCCCAAATCAAACTGCCTGCCTTTAAGGACTCCACACTCTAGGGCTCCTGCTCACTAACCATTAAATATATATGATGCCTTTAAATGCCCCAATAGAGCTAAAACCACATTCAGCTGAAATTTATTCTCTTTAATATTTATCTACATCTGGGTATTTGTACTGTCATATCCTTCTTAGGTATGAAAGTTTTATACTGTAGTTGTGAGGGAATGCCCACTATCATCACACTTATACCCGTCCCTCCAAGCTACAATACATTATTTCCTACCAGCTCTGTCTCATGGAGCAGTTTCTCATAATTGCAACCTAAATGTTTAATGTGACAGAAGTAAGGATGAATGGGAAAAGATCTGAGTGTGGAGTGTAAATTAGCTTGAAAAAGGTGACAATGGCTCTTGCCACGGTCCCTCCATGTGGTCTCTTGATGCTACAGAAAAAATTCTGGGAACACAATGAATTAAGTCTTGTCCTTGGTTTCCATCTCTTCTGTTGGATACTGGGGGGTGTTTTTTGTTTGTTGTTTAAGATTAAGAATGTAGCATTCAGAGAAAAAGGACAACTTGTTAATGACTCAACCCTACTAAGCTGTTCATTTAAAGAGATAAAGTTTTTCTTTATTTTATTTATTTCACAGAGTATCCTGAGTTGGAAGGGACCCACAAGGATCACTGAGTCCAGCTCTTAAGTGAATGGCCCATACAGGGATTGAACCTTAAGAAAATAAAGAAAACTTAAGATTTAAGAAAACCTTTTCTTGCAGGTCAATAATTACTTTCAACTTGTTAGTTTATGTTTTCATAAACCTTTTTCCTTTCTAAGTTCAGTAATTTTCTGCATAATAAAGTCTGATTATAAGCAAATTGAAACAGTTGCTTTTGGGTTTTTTTGTGTGTGTGTAATGTCACTTACTTGCCTAACCCTGTCATTCATTATGAATAATGCATTCCTAATAAAAATGCCTTTATTACAGTGAGGGTGCAGCAGTTTTTTAATAACCAACTGTTTCATTTTTTTATTTAAAAATGCAGGTTTTAGAGACTCCATTTAAGAAGATGGATACTGCAGTGCAGTTCAATTATGGGTTTTGCCTTTATTGGTGAGTGAAACCCCCATTCCTTACATGTGTAAGACAACCTGCTCATAAATTCTCATATTGGTAACTAAGATACAATACTCTAATATGTATGTTTCTGTGAAATAACTAATTTATTGAGATTTCATAGGTGTCCATGTAAACATGCAAATGAGAACAATTTGGAAGACTTTTTTGTTTCTCTAGTTCCTCAGATGCTATTTTGTATTTCTTTTGCCTTTATTCTATCCAGTATATTGTGACTGTGTCATTCCTCAGATTTTGGTGGAAAACATTCTGTCATTATCACTGTGGATCAGGAATATCATATGACCATAATTTTCTGGCTCTTTGCCATAGACCAAAACACATAGTTGTTCAATATACTAGAATAACTGAAGTGCTGGTTTTGAGGTAAGTGGAAATACTTCCTAAAAAATTGTGATATTTTGTTCTAGTTTGGTTTTTTTATTACTTTTATCTTACATTTCCTCAACTTTAATATTATGGGAAATATAGACTAGTTTAATAGATGCATCTGAAACGTCAAGAAGATCACTTTAAATTTAATAAAACTCCTCATAAAAATTAATTTTTCTTCTCTTGTAATATTAATCTTGGAGAGCATGTAATGTTGAAGCTGGGGCCTGCAATGATGACTCCCTGCTCATACAGGTGTACGCAGGGAACTCCCATTGGCAGCAATTAAATGCATTCATAGAAATTACTACTTAAATTGTTTACTTTTTTTCCTACCTGTGTTTGATAGCCAAGATATTAGGGTTTCTGAGCATGTAGCACCTTGTGCAGAAATTAAATAATTCAAATCAGGGAATGTTTCCCTGTATGATGCACTTTACTAGTTTTCCCTGTGTGATCCTATACAGCAATTTGCTTTATACCTTTAAATTATTTTGGATCCAAACAGAAGTTGAAGGTGATCAATAATCTCTCAATTTTTGAGTGCGTGACTTTGTTGTTATTAACCCAGGGCACTGAAGGTGGGTCTATATCTAACTTTTAATCAAAAACAAATCTGCTTCACCTTCACTGTGATAAGCCTATGTTTTGACTTTGTGTGAGCTCTGCAGTGATTTGTGAGTGATACACAAAATGAAAAACCCTTTTCCCAGAGAAAGGGCAGGAAGACTTCAGAGATTTGCTCCGTTTGTTAGATTTACTTGAATTTCAAACAGCCAGGAAGAATAACAACTGAGAAATCCTAACTATTAAAAAGAGACTTCAGAAAACATTGAAATGAACATGTATTTAAAGGCTCTGACTTAGCAGTTGGGGATATGCCTACTCATAATACAGACGTATAAATCTCCCTTCCTGCCCTACAACATCAATAAAAAATTGCATCCTAGTTCTAGGGCATCACCTGTATTCATCTGAATTTTTCAGGTTATATAGTCATGCAAAATTAAATTTATGTACAAACATGTTCAAACCAAGGAAATACATCATTTATCTCTTCCAGACACGATGTGAGATTCACCGTAGTAATAAATTGGCTTGATGAGCATGTGTGAGCCATCCTTTTTTTGGTTATACAAGCCTGTCAGAAGTACAATGACAAACACCTCAAAAAGAGGTTTGTTCCAGCGAGTTTATTGCCCAAAGTATTTAGTCAGCCTCCATTTTTTCTCCCATGCCACTATTTTAAGTACTCAAGCAGCCAATAAAGCCTGTGGGAGATCCCTTCTTATACTGGGAGGAATCATACTGAAGCAATGACTGATTTCATCGCTGAACTGTTCCATATAAACAAGTTTTAGCCAGTTTGTGCCTCATCTGCGGTGCAGATAGGTTGATATGAGGGTGGTATACCTGTGTGGGAAGTTCCTTCCTTACAGTGGAGATGTCAGTGAAAGATCACCATGAGTTATGTTTGGAGATGACTCAAGAACATTTTCTCTTTGCTTGAGAAAACTGGGATCTTTTGCTCCAGAGCCAGTCTGTTTCTGGGACCTCTTTCAGGTGTGTTCCTGCTTCCATGCGTTTTCTCGTGATCCCACTGAGTGCTATAGAAGGTAAGAAAGGAAGCCTCCAGATTATATTTACCCAGGCAGGAGTACAATAGTTCTAGCATGATTAATCATCACAGTTAGCTCTTAATTAGGACACCCAGTCTCCTGTTCCTCTTGAGATTTTAGTAGCCTTTCCCCACCCTATTTCTGTGATTTCTTTCATCATGTGTTGTTGTCACACCCATTGCTTTCGAAGAATTTTTGTCTGTGCGTGGAAAAGGAATACCCAAGAACTGCAGATGATGAAGTACTTTGGATTTTTAATTCATTCATGGATAGATCCATTTTAAAACTTCTCTTAAATTTGAGGAATGCAGGTGCTGTTTGCAGCCCTATCGGTGTTTGTCTTTCACCTTTAGAAGATGTTTCAGTGTTGTCTTGTGCTGCTACAGTGAATGTTTTGGAAGTCTTTTGTTCTTGTTCCACCCCCTTGGTGGGATCTTATTTAAATGGTGGCCACCTCCCTGTGTCATCTTTCTGTGGCCTCATGTTTTCTATTTCACCTACGTAAATTACTTTTTTTGGTAACCCATTCTTTACTCCAAAGGGTTATATACTCATTGCTGAGGGCCTAATAACTTTAAACTAGGTTGTGCTGAGAAAAGGCTCTACTTTAAGCATGTTTACCCAGTTTACTTTTCATATGTCTGAATGCTCCCAGCCTTCCTCCCCTAACCGTTCCAGATCCCAGCAGAGACAGTGCTAAAGGCTCTGGAGGTTTTTCTTTTTTCTTTTTATTTTTTTAAACGGGATTTTCCCATTTGAAATCCACTTGTGTTTTTAGTATCACAAGAAGAACTGTTTTGGGGAAATTCTACACAGCTGTATAATGCAGTAATGTCTGAGCACCCTTGTAGCTGGTCAGTGAGGAAGTGTACCCTATCTCTAGGAATAAAGATGGAGGCAGAAGGATGGAGAAGGCCCAAGAGTTTCCCATGGAGCATTTTTGAGGACCATTTCTATTGCAAAGACTTGCCAGGTTCTGTTTGTGCACACTCGCCAGGCACCTTGCCATATAGCAGAGTTCTGTAAATAGAAAGAAGTTTTGCACAGCCTGTACCAAGTGTTTGTACTTGGCAACAGTTGTTTGTTCAAAGTTTAAAAAAGAAAAAAAAAACAAACACAAACCCACTGAAAACAAACATTGAAATTAGAGTTTCTCACAGGTGATTTGAGAGTTCTGCCAGTTCCTAAGATACCTTAGGAAAAAAAAAACAAAACAATGTTTTTCTTTCTATGTCAGAGAGAATTACCCTTTTTAGGGAGTTATTAACAGCTGAAATTTAAAATTTATGAATTCATTAGTTTGAATTGCAAGTTAAGTTCACTAGACCTATTGTTGCCATTTGTAGTAGCAGTAGAGATGCCATCAGGTACTGAGGGTGACTTAGTTTTTGGCCAGCTACAAAGGAGCACACACCATCACATAATGGCCTGCAAGGTCCCTTTTAGACCAAATGGGAGGGTTTGGGTATTTTTCAAATGGTCACTGATTTCTCCTAACTGCTTATTTGCTGGTGACTGATTGCTAAAGGAGTATCAGATCTGGGTATATAAAAGATGGTATGAGGCTGAAATAACTTTGTTCTCAAAAAGTCCCTTTGGTTTTGATAATTTCATTACAGTAACTAGTGTTACCTACTGTAATTTTTTTGGGGAAAAAAATAGCTGTTGGTTTGAAATGAACTTTCATCTGATTTTGTTTTTTTAAAGAAAAATTTCTGACTTTGCCATTACAGAAAATAGCTTGGAAATTAGAACTGAAAAAAAACTAAAAGAAATATTTTCAAAATTAATATCACAGTTTCAGAGGGTTTTTTTTTCATATTCTATAATTGATAATTGCTGGAGGTGACAAAACCGAGTCAAAGATGGTCAGTTCACAAAGGTGTGCTGGCATTCATGGCTTAGCACATTTCTAGCTGACCAGCTGTGCCTTCCTCCTGTGCAGTTTTCTCACAATTCTATCAGGAAAAGACCTGGATGTACCCACTTCCTCCTTTTATTTCCAGGAGGGTTGACATAAAGTGGTCAGAGACAGAAAATTACAGGAGATAAACGAGTTGAGGGCAGAGGTTTTAAAAGGTGTTTATGGGAGTAACTACTCAGTTCACATGGTTACATTAGCAAAAATAATTCATTTGCAAATTCTATTAGTGTCTTTTGAAGTTCTCAGCCGGGGAGGTCAAGTGGTTTGACCTAAGGTGACAGCAGAAGTTCAATAATTGAATCTTTACTGTCATCTAGCAGTTATCCTGGATGAGACAGTATTTATTGTTCTGCAGATTTAAGAGAAATGTAGAAATCACTGTTTTGAAATGTAATCCGACATTACTACTTAAAGTGATTCTTCCAGTCCATGTAGGCTTATATGTCCAGTACTTCCTCTTGCATTATCTTTACACTGAATCACAGCTGCCATTTTTGCAATTAGAACATTAAACAGGGCATTTCCCCTCAGTATTGTTTATACTCATTTATTTTGAAGTACCATCCTCCTACTGCAGAGTGTTATTTTGGCAATAAGTTACCAAAAAAACCCCAGTTTTATTTTTTTTCCAAACGATTTTTATATGAATGTAATCTGCATTGCAAATCCACATTTCAAAGTAATTTCTGCAAATGTAATACTGTAAAACAAAGCCTTCATTTAAGTGAATACTTCATGTTGGGTTTTAGACAGTTAAAATTTTGATCATATCAATATATTTCTATTACAAACTACTGCATTTTGAAAACAACTTCCAAGGAATAAGAGATGATGAAATCACACAATAAATAGCTATTCTGTATTCAATATCCATTAGTTGAGTACATAATTTCAAATGATCATTAGTCTCATGAAGCAGAGACCTTACCTCAGCAGCTTTTATAATTGAAGCTGTCTGTTGTGAGTGAAGGAAAGGGAGATTGCAGAACATTGTATTAGATGGAGAATCTTGGAATGTATCTTAAAGAACTAAGGGTCTGTTGAGGAGTTTTGTGGTCCCC